GCCAACGCACCGCACCATCACCACCCAAGTCCCTGGCTCTCCCGCAGAGAGGTGGACACAGAGTGGTGTCCAGGTCTGACCTAACATGCTGTAGATGTCCTCCTCCTCTTCTTCAGGAACCTGCCCAGGATTCTGACCACTGAGATGATCTGAGGAAACTTTTCTGGAACAAGGGCTCCACACGGTGCGACTGATACAGGTGCAAGGGACACTTAGCCACCCGGGACACGGACCGCCTCTGCGCCTGGCTTCCCGCTGTACGCGTCTCACAATTCAAGGCACACTGGTGGCGTCGAACCGCAGCACAACCCCTCGCTTTTTAGACAAATGATGGATACAGGACACCTTGGCTTGGGGAAAGCTTTCTAACAGGAAGCAAGATCCCTCCTGACTCGCAGACAGAGGGGCACACACCAGCCAGGAAGCTGCCTGCCTCAGCCTGCATACATCCTGGAAAGGCAATCACTAGAGCAACCTGACTTAGCCAAACTCTCCCAGACGGCGCTACACAGCTTCTCTTTTCCTTACATTCTCCCTAGAAATGTCTTAAATGCATATGCCCACCCACAGAATTTTAAATTGACATATGAAATTTCATTGCACACCAGTTTCAAAATTCATTTTCCAACATATGGTAAACATCGACACAAAAATAAATATGAAGTCATTCTTTTAAAGATGTTCAAGAGATTTTAAATACTGTACTGATGTAATACCCATCACTACCCATTTAAAAATGCATGCTGGCCGGGCCTGGTGGCACACACCTGTAATCCCAGCACTCAGGAGGCTGAGGCAGGAGGATCACTGTGAGTTCCAGACCAGTATGGGCTACAAAGTGAGCTCAAGGCTAACCTGAACTGCACAGCGAGACCCTGTCTCAAAAAGACAAAAAACAAAATAAAAATGCATGAATATGTTCTTAATTAGTAGTAAACTTCTTTTTCTCCTTGAAATTATATCATATATATTTTTCCATTCCTCCTAAAGAATTTTATCCTAAAAATATATTTTTTGGTTGAAAATCTTTACAGAGCACTCTCTCATATTTTTCAGTAATAATATAAATTGAAAATTTAAAGCTTTTAAAATTCCCTGTGACATACCCCTGTTTAAACGTTTCTTCTGGATCGAAGGATCACTACAAGTCTTATAGGACATAAATTAGAAAAACTAAAAATACAAGGCACATTTTGATGACCACTGAGCACAAACTTCCGGGCGCAGTTCTGAAGAGCACCTGTGAAGGAGGTGGGTGCCTTTACCCAGAGCAGGTAGGCCGTCACCTCCCCGGAAGGGCTCTCTGTCGCCTGGGAGGCCCGGGCTGGGGCTGGAGGTAGGGCAGCGCTGTGCCGGGGGAAGGGCCACCGTGGGAGGGGAGAGGCCTCGAGGGCGGGGGGGGGGGGGCCCGGGGGCTCCAGAAGAGCCCGCGCACGGAGGGGAGGGGCCTCGAGGGTCAGGAGGGCCCGGGGGGCTCCAGAAGAGGCCGCGCACGGGCTCTGGGAGGCCCTGCCCCTCGTCTGTGCTCAGGACTCCCTGCAAGGTCGGAGGAGCGTGGCTGTGGCGGGTGCTGTGCTCTGCCCCAGGCCCCGCACCCTCTTTCTCTGCCCTTGCCACATCCCTCCCCTCTCCGCCCCAGCCCACAGCCCCTCCCCCAGCCTCGGTGTCCCCGGTCTTACTGGAGAGGTGCACGAAGGTCTCCTATCACCCCCTGGCCTCTACACTATGGACTCTATTCTAGAGTTCATGTGTGAAATACACTAGAGGTCAAATTTTACTCGGAAAGCTTCCCCAGATGTTTACTTTTTCATGCCCGAAAAAAAGTGTATGAATGTTTATGGAAAAAAAGGAGCAGGGAGAGCATGCGGAGGAGCTGTGTGTCTACAGACAGCTGAGGACAGATACGGGAGCCGCTTCACTTAGGGCCGACTTCGCCCCTTATTTACATGCATTCACGTTTACATGCAGAAAAGCACACAGCTGACACACGGCACCCTTCCTATTGACTTCAAGAAACCAATACATGCACAGCGTCAGAAAATTCAAATTATACACGGAAACAGAAATCTTTATCCCTCCGCCCAGAGGTGCCACCTGAGCACTCCCAAGAAAAACAGACACACCTGCCGGGAGCCGTCATTTCTCCTTGCTTCCCTCCATCTTTACTTTGTAATTTCACTCAAAGGGGATCGTCTTGTTCTTAATAAAACAGCCAGTGCGCATGTGCACTCCATACTCACAAAACACACCAGCAAAGGCCTTTTTTTTTTTAAAAAAAAAAAAGGGTCACAGAATTTTAATATATGGATATGCTGCAACTTATCTAACGAGTCTCTTACTGAGAAATTCAGTTACCTCCACGTTTCTGTAGGAAGAAGCATTTCAAGGACTGTGGTTTGGTATGCTGCAGATGCGAGTCTCTCTGTGTAGCAGTCATTCACATTTTGATTTCTTTGTATTCTAGAAAGGCTGAACCAATTCATGCTGCTACCAACAGTGTGTGAAAGAACATGCATTCCCATGTCCCTGACAGAAGGGCATCAGCAACATTTTTCAGCAGAATGGGTGGAACACAGCTGTCATGGTTTAGATCTAAAGTGTCCCCCAAAAGTCTTGTGTTAGGAGGTGGGACTTGGGTGGAATCAGGTCACTGGGATGTGCCCTGGACAGGTGTACTCCCGTCCCCCTGACTCCCCTCTTCCCTCTCTGCTTTCTGGCTGCCCTGCAGTGAGTAGCTGTCCTCATCCAGGCCCTTCCACCGTGTGTGTCTGCCTGGGAGCCAGCAACCATGGACTGGACCCACTGGAACCTGTGAGTCAAATAAACCTCTCCTCCCTTAAGCTGTGGGTTTCAGGCCCCATGTCTCACTGACTGGGGAGTGACTGAGACCATGGGATTTCACTGGTGCTGGAGCTTACGTTTCTTTAGCTGAGACTGAGCACCCTGTCGTTTTTTATGGGTTTGTAGAAATGTTTTGAATTAAAGATACTAACCCTTTGTTAGACACGCAAATATTTTCTCAGTGTGCCCAATTTATCTTTTGAGTTTGCTTTTTTCACCCTATCATATGGAAGTTTTACATTTTCATATATTTTACTTTGTCGGTATTTTCCTTTAAGATTTTAGGGGTTTTGTCCTGACTGAGAAGGCACTTCACACTGAAAGATGTCTCTGGGCTTTTTAAAGAATTTTTTTAAAAAGTGATTTAAATTTTTACAATGAGTCTCAACCATCTGAGTGTGGAATTGTGTGGGATTGAGTGTGAGATTGGTGGAAAACAGTGCATAAGTAATATAAGAAAGTGTCACAAGGTTTTGAAATTCTTATTTGTCATGAAACCATGCAACAGTCAATCTTCTTCCCACTGACACAAAATGTCACTGTTACCATCAACCGAACCCCATTTTTATTTGGGTCCATTTAGGGACTTTGCTCTATTCCACTGATCTATTTCTTCTCAAATTCAAAATGCATTTAACTATTATATCATTCGAATACATTTTAACATCAGGCAGAGCTGTGAACCTGTTTTTCTTCTTTTCAGAAGTTTCCTTGTTATTCTCAAATGTTTATTTCTGTTTGAATTGGCACTGGGTTTTCATAAGACTACATTTTTTGATCTCAAGAGAGTTAAAAAAATACTCTTTATGTAGATTATCTACATTCACAAGCTACCACCTATTTAGGTTTTATATTGGGTTTCTTCTGTAAATGGGATTTTATTCTTCAATAATATTTTAAACTGGTCATTATTCCTTATGAAAGGAAGCAAATTATTTTATTTAAACTTTGTAACATGCCTTCTTGCCACTGTCTTTAACAACTGACCTGACCCGTGGTGCTTAGCTGTATAACCCTCACGTCTAGGGACAGTATACTATTCCCCGGCGTACGTGAGTTCCCAGGCCCTGCTCTCACACACTGCCTTGGCCAGCATCTTGGGGTCGGAGCTGAGCGTCAGTGGTGGCCTGGGCTACGAATGCTCCCACGCCTGGAGTTCACCGCAGAGCTTGATGTGGGCTTTAGTTTATGACACAGGCCCTCTGGCTCATATGCCAGAAGTTACCTTCCCCTCCATGCAGGAAACACGGTGGCTTTGTTTCTCCTCTCGTCAGCTACGTGACAAACATGTGCACAGCTCTGGCGAGGCGGCCAGCTTCTCCCTCTTCCCTACCCTCTTCCCGCAAGTTCTCTTCCGGGGTGGCCCCCGAGTGAGGGGCACATGCTGCTTGGATGCTGCGGTCTCTTCCCTCTATCAGAGGTTCAGCCTGGGGTCCTTCTCCCTGCTTTTCCTCCCAGCTCCTCAGGCACAAGGAGAAAACTCTTGTGCAAAGTGGTCTGGAGGCTGAAGAGGCTGCATGCAAGGGATCCTCGACCTCAGAAAGATGCTGCTTTCCTGACTTTCCCCTACTTGGGTTCCTAGGTCTCCCCGGAGGCAGACCACTCCGGGCATCTAGGGCTCTTCCCCTCTCCCTGCTTGTGCTCTCCACAGGCACAAAAAATCACCAGCCGGGGAGCTCCAGGGTGCATGTTTCTTGGCAGGTCTCTCTCCTCTCTCTCTCTCGCCTCCCTCCATCTCCGCCTCCCTCCTTCTCTCTCTTGGGTGGCATAATGTGGGACTCATTGAGAAGCAGTTTCTCCTTTCATGGCAATTTCTGCTGCTTCTCCCCATGTGTTTTCATTCCTCCTTGTGCTCTGCAAGATATCACTTCGGATTCTATTACGCAGTCTCCGCCCTGATGTTTCTGCAGGGTGGAATCAGGGATTGGAGGCAGCTGCCTGGTGATTCTTACACATCTGTCTTGTTCTTTTGCTGAAGCCTCGCTCTAGTCTTTATTACCACTGCCTGAATATCCCTGTCTGCTGAGTTTAGCCCTTCCACCAGTCTGTTACTCACGTGGTTGGCATCTAGCTTTGCTTTTGGCGTCCTAAATGGATCTTCCATGTTTATTTACATCAGTCATAAATGTAAGGTTGAGAAAAACATCAACAGCAGTCCCTGGGAACTGTCTCTGTCACTTACAAAAGAAACACTGGACATTCTTTTCTGTTACCTGCTGCTTCAGGGCCTCCAAAGACTCAAATTCCAGCCTGGCCAGTTTCATCTGCACGTGGCGTGGTTTGTCAGGGATGGCAAACGCAAGTATGAACTTCAGAGCCAGGAGTGCGTGCTGAAAAAGAAGGAACACGAGTTGACAGGGGGCGCTCAGACCTTGACACCTAAGGCTCTGGGGTCCTTTTAGTCAACCTTGAGAACTTTCTCACTGTTGGCCTGCGGCATTTTAAAGACCAAGCAGCGCGTGAGTTATCTGCAGTGCATCCCACTGTGGCCCATTCCATAATTACTGATTTACTTTATTCTTTTGAAAAGCCAGTGATCGTCATCATCTGACACCAGATGCCACTCTCAGTGTTTCACAGAAAATCAAAGCTTATCGCAAAGCACTGCACAACATTTTCCCTACCTGTGCCTTAGCCAACAGAGTGTGTGGCGGAACCGCACCACCCTCTGCCCAGGACCCGCACCGCGCCCCACAGCAGGGCTGGCTACGGCTGAGCGAGTGCATCTCAGACAGAAAGTGCCTGGACCCTGCAGGCCCCCGGAGCGTCTTGACGTGAATTCAGTAAACACCGATTAACTGAATGACTGGAACTGGGTGCCATCTCACCCTCTGACTCCATCTACAGTAGGGCGGGCGCACAGAGACGGAGAGTACCATTCAGACACGCGAGTGGAACACCTGGCTAGGACGCTCCTCTGCTGCACCAGCACTGCAATAAGGACGTTTCCCACAACATAAGGATGCGCGGTTTACTGTTCAGCCAGCAGCACTGCGTGCGCTGTAACCCCGCTCTGCAGATGGACAGCTTCAACCTACGGTGCTTCTCCAACCTGGCACCCCCTTGTTATCTGCGGTCAGCACCACAGACGTCTGCACAACCACGAATAAAGCCTCATCGTGAGAGCACAGACCACGACTCAGGCAAAGCTGTGGGCTTTACTTTTTTGTGGTACTGGCAGTTGAACCCAGCACCCCTCTAAGTGGCCCAGGCAGGATTCAACTTGTGAGCCTCCTGCCTCAGCCTCCCAGAGTGTTGGGATCACAAGTGTGTGCGCGGCACTATGCCTGGCAAAGGTGTAAAATTTATAGATAAGATTAAAAAACCGTTAAGGAAATCAGTCAAAGGGACAGGGTAGCCTAAAGAAATGTCATATTCAATTACCAACAGAAAAAGAAGACAGTTGAAAAACTAAATGAATTCCTTCTTGTGATATTTTCAAAAGAAAAGGGAGAATAAATAATAAGTGGGTGTCTCCTGGAGAGGCATGAGATGGTAAAGTCAGCATCACACTGAGCCAAGAATAATTCAACGGACGATGAGGCCAGGTATGGCCTGCAGTTTATGGGAGGCCTGTAGTGGACCTGAGACAGTAGTTTCAGTCAGTGTAAAGGCACGACAAGGAACATGCACCCTCAGGGCCCATTGGAGGAACGCAAGCAGATAACACAACATGGGCTGGGTGTGGTGGTACATGCCTGTAAGCCCAGCAACTGGTAGGCTGAGGCAGGAGGACTGCTGCAAGTTTAAGGCACTCTGGGATACACAGTGAGTTCAAGGCCAGCCTAAACTGCATAGTGAAGTGCTGTCTCAAAACAAATAAACAAGAAAAAAAGATACACATCATGGATCAGATGCTATCACCTGTCACATCTCTGAACTAAATGAACTGAACGAATAAGAACCTGGCTATAAACCACAAAGAATAAACACAAAATTAAGAAAACATTAAATTATGCCATTGTTTTATGCTATTAGAGTACTGAGATACAGCTTTAAATAAGAGAATCTCTTCCACGGATGGAGTAGACAAGAAATGAATTAGTGGATGAAAAGAAATCTTCTTTCAATTTTTCAGAGGCCGGCTTGCCTCAGATTGGCAGAGGCCATCAGGACCAAGTTGCTGACCCCTGTCCTTCTCCCGTAATGAACAGGGGCCACTTCCTCCTCCTCAGAGTCTTGGTGTGAATTAGTTTAAAGAACAAAACCAAGCAAAGCAATCCAGGAGAACAGAGCTGCTTCCCTTGGTGTGACAGGTCCTTCTAGGAATGGGCCAGGTGACTCAGGGTTCAAGGAGGCTGCCACAGACCTAGGGCCAGTTTCTGTGGGAGGAAACTTGGGACTGGTTTACCAAGACTAAACCAAACAGGAGGCCACATTACAGGCTTAGATACACACAGCAATATTCTTGCATGAATAATTCTCTATGGTTTCTTTTCCTTAAAACATGGCCTCTTTACAGTGCATTTCCTCGGATGGTGGCACTAGAGGCAGTCCCTTTCGCATTAGACTTCAGTGGTCATGCGCTACAGCTTTTAAACAGCAGGGGAGGAGTATGTAGCAAACAGGGGCCCCTCACACAATAAATGAATTACACGTACTCCGCAGGGCCCTACTCCTCCCTGATAACAACCGTCTGTCTGCCCAACAAACTGACCACAGGAGGATCTGGCTTCTTACCTACAGTCCAAGAACACAAGCACTGTGGAAAGAGGTACTCTGCACTGCAGTAAGCACACAGTGCCAGGAGCAGGACAGCTGAAATGGTGGCCTAACCATAACCTAAACCCTAACCCAAACCCTAACCCTAACCCTAACCCTAACCCTAAACCCTAACCCTAATCCTAAACCCTAACCCTAACCATAACCTAAACCCTAACCCTAAACCCTAACACTAAACCCTAACCCTAACCCTAACTCTACCTTCTTCCCAACCTCCCTTTGTCAGTCACACTCACTTTTTGTCCTGGAAACGCCCCCAATTCTAGGTGGAGTTTCTGGAACAACTGTACATATTTGCTTTAGCACACATTACTTTAAAAAGTGAAAACAGAGTACTAACCACTCCCTGACACTGGCAATTAATTTAATGAGTGGAGCTGTCCACCCCTCCCAGCCTTGGCGAGAGTCACGCTGCATGCGTGGGACAGGGACGGGGACTAGCGTGAGAAAGACAACACTGCAGAGCTCCACACAGCACTGGCAGCAAGGAAACAGCTTTGAGGAAAAGAGGTGCAGAAGAGGAAGGACCTAGAGTTGCCTGCAGAGCCAGGGAAGGGTGACTGAGACCTCTCCTATACGGTCTCTTTCTGATTGGTTTCTTCACTCTTAACCAAGAACTCAAGTCATCATGATGGGTTAAGCATGTCTCATGGTCTAGCCTGGAGACCTAAATAACATTTGTAGCACTGTGTTTCAAGATCCCCTTTAAAAAATGTTTTTATTTCTCATATAGTCACTCTATCTCAAGGCTGGAAACTGCTTAATGTTAACTGATCAAAGAAAAAAATTATGAAAAGTATTTTACCTATTTTGGCTTGTTTACTTAAAGGAAAACGTAAGATGAAACAAGTCACTCATGTTTGAAGAAAAACATACTGAAAGTGACAAGAGCAGATATTTTATAGGTTAAGATTGTGACTATTCACCAATGATCTTCTATTATATCAACTCACAAAATTATATCCTAAACAAAATGAAGAGAAAACACATTGTGTGTGTGCGTGCATGTGTGTGTGTATGTGTGCACAGAGATGGGCAGAATTTTAAAACTAACAAATACAAGGACGTCGGCTCCCCACAATAATTTGCATTAAGCAATGAATACAGCAAGCTCTGCGAGGAAAGGAGAAGGAAAGGACCAGGACCACAGAAAGTGGGCACCGGAGTTAAACGCTTTCCAGTGCCAGTGGGAAAGGGCCGCCTGCCCCTCCAGCAGCCCACTGCACACCTTTGGTCACCACGGGGCTGTCAAGCTCTGGGACTCTTGTGCCAGGCACACATGCGGTGAGTAGAACCATTTTATTTTGCAAAAACTAGAAATCCTTTGATGTGCCTGGCTGGAGAGGCTGCATGTTGTACAAAGCAAAGTGTCACAACCCTATCGCTTCTGAAACAGAAAATGCAAATGCGAGCTGCGCACTCAGGCTTCTGAAAGCCAATTCGATTCTTGGCGTGGCGCATCCACTGCATTACCTCTCCCGCTCAAAGCCCAGCCTCAACGGTACAAAAGAAACGCCTGAAAAATATCCTCTGCGGATTCTCAGACAAGTTACATGTCAAATACCAATTTATAAAAATGATTAATAAAGTGCAGATTGACAAAAGTATTATGGAATTACTTTTAAGAAAACAACTTTAGGTATTTCCAATTTAAGGTGGAGGATCAAGCACATACATCTACTGCTTCCCAGTCCCAAAGACTCCCTGAAATAATAGAAATGTACATTGTAAAAGGAACAAGATGGAATAACAAGAGAAGTTGCCAGAACTTCTGAGGACAGGACCAGTGAAGATCAAGTTCCCTGAAACAATAGCAGGTCATCCCCAAAGGAGCCACAGAGAGAGGCCAATGTCAGGTTTGATGCCACAGAAAGGAAGGCCTGGGCTTCAGAGACAGGACCAGAGTACATGTGTTAAGGAACAGCTTTCAAAACAGCTGGGGCCATGCATTACAGAAACATAATATCTGGGTAGAAAAATTCCCTAGAGGAGTTCAGCAGACTTGACCAGGCAGAAGAATAAGCAAACTTGAAGAGAGGCCATTTTGAATCATTGGCTCACACGAACAGAACAAAACCAAACCAGAAAGAAATTATAAACAGAAAGCTTGATAGGACACCATCAACTGGATGAATTCTAGAAGAAGAGGGAGAGAAAAGGGAACAGAGCTCATCTGAAGAAATAATGTCTGAAACTTCTGAAAGCTGAGGAAGAAAAGATGTTCAAATTCAAGCATCTACAAGACTTTCAGCCAGGATGATCTCAGAGAGGCCCCTACCAAGACAGACTATAATCCAGCTGTGGAAATTCAGGCAGGGACTCTTGAAAGGAGCAAGAGAAAAGAGACTTGTCACATGCAGGGGACTTCGGAAGATCATTAGCAGATTTCTCAGTAGAAACAATAACGGCCAGAAGTGGACAAATGACCTACATAAAATGCCAAGAAAAACTGCCAACCAAGAAGACTATACAGTGGACCCTGGAGTTATGATTGGCCTGACATACAAGCAACTCGGTTTATCACTAGAATTTTAGTTTTAACTTATGACCAAAGTCTTGAGTTCTGACCTGAATGTCAGGTGCTTGTGCTTCCAGATGGTCTCAAATA